GTGATCATAGAAAACCCCGTAGTTTGTGGAGTACACAATAAAAGCTAACCAGTTCCATTGACAATTGGAATTTTAAACCCAGAATATGGATCCCAAACAAAATTTATTTACGACGATATGTTAATTATTAACCTGGTTTGTATTTTAGAACATATATCTCAAACAATACCATAGGAATACGGGCTCGATCAGTGTTAAGGGGGCGGAACCCGTTTTATTGGTATTACATTTCGTCTGCCCGAAAAGTCAGATTGCCCGAAAGTTAGGTCGAAAAAAAAACAAACACGTTTTTAAAGATATATATATATCTTAGTAAATAAATTTTGAAATATGCCAGGCTATTATAATGTTATACTGTTGACGCCTCTAATTGAAATGTTTATGTTTGTGTTTGTGTTTTTATTTTCCAAGATTTTTTTTCCTTTTATTAATACACGCCCGAACAAACTATAAATTATCAAAGGTTTATTTCTCCTTTCGTTTTGTTATTTTCCCATTTAAAATTATTCATTTGAAACTATCAGACATTTATGTCTTATTTTCTTTTTTTAAAGCATAGATGTTACATAACACGAGTTTTAAACAATCACTTATCTTTGTTCGCCATCTTGACGCTCGATTCTTTTTTTTATTATTGGGAGTGACTGGCTCAGTGAGTAAGACGTTGGCTCGCTAACTTGGATGTCTCGTGTTCGATCCCATCGTTGACACACACACACACACACATCTTGTCACGTAAAAGAACCATTAGCAGAAGGAATGGGCTACGATATAAGAATAGCCCGTAGTGCCGCCGTCCGGGCAAAATTACCCTCATAGCACACTGTATGTATGGCGTATGGGCGTCTTAATTAACCCAGTGACCGGGCTCACACTGACATTCAATTTTTTTCCGGGAGAATAGACGATAATTTTTATATACAATAATGTTTATACTCTTTTCCGCCAACTGGAATATTGTATCTGCCAAAAATGTGTGATAAAATAGACAACATGCTTCAATTTTATTTATCAGGTAGGCCTGTTATAAAACAATTACCGATATAATTACAATAATATACAACAACTTAAAAATAGATTCGTCTTTACATTAAACAATAGCCCAGTTTTAGATGATTTACTAAGATCAGATATTTTTGGGGGTGACTTTAGTCAATTTGCACACCGTATAATATATTTTTTATTATATACACGTCAAATCTCATCCATTGATAGCCAATTTTCTATAAAGTTTGAGTGTACAACAGGCTTATTGTTATTTTCAGGTACCATAATGATTTCAGAATCTGAATCCCTGATAGAATGATATAAATTTCAATTGCATTTGTAAGAAAAGCTTACAATAATACTCGTCGTTCACTTCAGAGCATTTTGGCGGCGGTAATGAAACAAATGGCAAACCGTTTTCTTACTGGAGAATCGTCGCCATTCGACTCGTACTTACATTCTTACCAATGGTGATAATATAATTTGAAATAAAAATATCCTATTAGGCAACCTTGTATATTTTACATGCCGTAGCCTATGAAGCCACAGTAAACGGAATTCAACTATCGAAATATTTAATTCTCTCATTGACACGAACCGGATTATCAGCGAGTTAATTATGGTATGCCGTCAAGTGATTGAACTCACTGTAATAGTAAATCTAGGATATATACGATTTTTGTCCTCAAGTTCTCAAAAAGAATCGCCAGTAAGGAGACCGGGGCTAGTTCGACCCCGGGGCAAGTACAACCTTTCTTTAAATCGCAAAAAATAGATGACCCTTTAGGGTAACCCCCCCTTTTTGTGACCACGTGGTCGCAGCGTTTCCGTTAACGTACAATTGAAGGTCAAATAAGACGAGCTGGGCCGTGGAAAACTGTTTATGGCAACTGTGAGTATATTTTTTACATGTTCTGTCATGTCTATCTTTACAACGTAAATATTATAGCACAATCGTCATTGCATGTTCAGTTATTGTTGAGGGAGTGAACTTTATTATGGAAGATAAGTTTCTGCATTGCCTTGAACGTATCCGATAGAATCACGTGGTTTCTAAAAATAGAGCAGTTGGGGCAAGTACAACCATCAGAATCGGGGCAAGTTCGACCAGGGGGTTGAACTTGCCCCGACCAGGGGGTCGAACTTGCCCCGACCAGGGGGTCGAACTTGCCCCGTAATCAATTACCCCTCCTAATTAATTGTTTATATCATTTTTAGATCACAACACCATCATGGTTCGAGTCTATTACAGGAAGAGGCCAGAGAGGACAGCACCAGATGTATTACAGCGAGCTTTGGAACATTCGAAATCGACATCTGATGGGTACAAGAAAACTGCAGCTCTTTTCAATATTCCTGCCTCTACTCTGCATGGATATATAAATAAATATAAAAAACTGAACCAGGCAGAACTTTCAACATCAACGATTTCCTTTGGCTACACAAAACCGCGGCAAGTCTTTACTGACGAACAAGAGAAGCAGCTTGCGACCTACCTGCAGCATGCTGCATCAATATACTTTGGATTGTCTCCACGGGAAGTGAGGATGTTAGCATATGAATGTGCAAAGCTCTTCAATTTGCAGATGCCAGTTTCCTGGAGCGATGTCCAAATGGCTGGACCTGACTGGTTCTCTGCCTTTCTGAAGAGTCATCCACAGCTGGCAATACGCGTCCCCGAAGCTACAAGCCTAGCAAGAGCATCAGCATTCAACAAGGCAAATGTCAGTGTGTTCTTTGGAAAGTTGGAGGAGGTAATGGGCAGAAATAAGATTGATTGTACTAGGATCTGGAATGTTGATGAAACGGCTATCACCACAGTCGTCAAACCAAATACAGTGGTCGCTTCAACTGGCACGAAGCAAGTTGGATCCTTAACCTCACAGGAGAGGGGCCAGTCGTATCATCGACATGTTGTGGCGATAAGTCGATGATACGACGGCACGACAAAATTGGGTCGATGACACGACAAAATCACGCGATCTTACGACAGTTTGTTCTGTCGTAAGATCGCGTGATTTTGTCGTAAGATCGTGTGATTTTGTCGTGTCGTCGTATCATCGACTTACAGTGGCGATAAGTCGATGATACGACGGCACGACAAAATCACACGATCTTACGATAAAATCGGGCTATCAGTTTTGTTATGTTTCCAATTGCTAAATGCCACTAAAGGATTATATTACCTTCTATAAATATTCGCTAAAACACTTAGCACATGTGAAAACAATATAATTTCAAAATTAAAAGAGTTTAAGAAAATATATTTTTATAGGTCTGGGGTTTTGGGGGTTTTTTTTGGGTTTTTTTTACATTTGATCTGTCAACACTCTACCTACAGGCCGCGAATCTAGATGGAATTTGTTCAAATTTGGCACAATCATTACTTTCAAAGAAAGGGTGGCACTCTCGGAGGTAAATGCATGACCGAAGCACTACTGTCACATTGAAACCTGTTTTTTTTTTTTAAATCTGTTTTCTTCGATCGACTGTTTCCCTTGTTTCAAGTTAAATGATGATCTATTGGAAAGAACGTATTGAGTAAATCTACGCTATCACTAATACGGATTCAATATGTAATATTTCTCATTACTACCTATGTTGTTTAATCAATGTTATACATGTTATTTTTCAGTCTTATCAAACATCATTGATATCATTTTATTGATTCTGAAATTATTTGTAAAACAAAATAAGAGACGTGGGGGGGGGGGGTATGAGGCTTTTAGAGTGTGTTCGTAGTTGAAGATATTACTGGGCCTATTTTTACTCATCTAGGCCCCAATCCCATCAGTGATGTCAAACGGATGCAAGCCTATATGCGATAAGGTCAATAACGGCTGCGAATCGTTTTCTCCACCTCATAAAAAAACTCCTGCATCTATTTGGGTGACGTGGGGGGGGGGGGTATGAGGCTTTTAGAGTGTGTTCATAGTTGAAGATATTACTGGGCCTATTTTTACTCATCTAGGCCTCAATCCCATTAGTGATGTCAAATGGGAGAGAGAGAGAGAGAGAGAGGGGGGGTTTAACGTCCACTCGACACAAATTAGGTAATTTCGGGACTAACATGGTTTAATTTTATTTCAATAAATCGTTTGCGCGTAGGGGTCTTTAGCAGTGGGAGGAAACCGGAGCACCCGGAGAAAACCCACGAGGTTTGACAGGCGACCCTACACCTTGTCACGTACAACCGGGGATTCAAAACTATGCCAGTTGACTCAATGACAGGCTGCGAATCGTTTTCTCCACCTCATTCAAAAAAACTCCTGCAACTATTGGGGTGACGTGCTGCACTATGATAATGCTGTGATTTTAAAGAATGTGACCCGATTTGGTTTTTTTACAATCCCCTTCCCACCCTGTCTTCTGAAATCATTTTTAACCTATCGCTCCAGTCATCTATAAATATTGGTGGGTGTCGTACACATGGCAATGAATGCTTACTTGTTCGATACCTCCCGACACCACTTTTTCTTCAAGGAATTAACTTAGCTAACTCACTTTGGTCCTGCTATTGTAATTCTAGATTTTTTAAATATAATACCAAATATAATTCACTTGTGGACACAAAATGTTTCATTATTTTGAGAAAACAAATAATTAATCAACGTTTTCCTACTATCTCTTTTATATTTATCAAATTGTTGTTGTTAGTGTTTAACGTCCGCTTCCACCGAAGGTGATATCGCAGACAAGTTGTCTTTTTTTATTTTCATGATCTTAGCGCACGCGCAGGGGTCTTTCGTGTGGGAGGAAACCGGAGTACCCGGAGTAAACCCACGAGGTTGAGAAGGCGCCCCTATCTCCATGCCACATACGCTCACACCAGGGATCGAAACCACAGCCGCAAGCCAGAGGTGACCGGCCAGCTAGAGGTCGAAGCGTGACACTCTAGACCACTAGGCCATCCCAACCCCCCATTTATCAAATCTACTACTTAGGCCTATATATGATGTAATGAGTACAGCTGTATTTTTGTGACTTGTAGAAAGAGACTAGGACAATAAGTCGACATCTCGACGTTACGATAAAAATAACACGATGATACGACAGAATAAAGTGTCGTATGATTGCGTCAATACTGTCGTGATGTCGTGTTGTCGCGTTATGAAAGGGCGAGATTTAACATGGCCACTATCAGCCACCATAGGTCAGGTTACCGGAAACATAACATTTTGTTTTTGGCCTAATTGCGACTTTGTCGACCGACAGCGTGTGTCCTGGCCCAGTCGATGCAGTACAAGTAGAACGTTAAACCCCATTTCATTTCTTTTAGAGTTGTTGTACAAGTTTCTTTAAGCATGCAAAAAAAACTCCCAAAAAACCCAAACAATTTGTGATGTTGAGGTGTGGCACGGTGCACAAAAAACCTGGGAATCGCCATGATTCATTCGTCCGTTTGTTGGACGTGCCGATTATAATATGTGCGAATGAATCAAGTGCACAAGCTTCCTTCGTTAATCGCCCTGTGTCTCTTTTTTTTTTGACAAATAATAATTTATCCTTATTAAAAAAAAAGCTGATAATTTATTTGGTTTGGTTCAGAAATAGGAAATTTTATATTTTAATTTCCATGTAAAAGAAAACCACTCTTCTACGAAAATCCAAAGTATGGACGTTTAGCAGTACCGGTAGCACATTTTCATCTAAATTCCACTGACAGTCAGTCAGTCTAGGCCCACTCTTACACAGTGCAGTCCAGTTCAGTCCAGTCAGCCTTGGCATTGTTTGCAGTTTAACACTTTATGGTAAGGCCATTCTGATAAGAATATTCTTAAGAATTTATAAGGATCAACTGAACTTAGCGACCATCCCTACTCAGTACTGGCTCCGAAGGCCCATGCCTGGCCATGCCATTATTGTTGTTTTCTATATTCTTTTCATCTTTATTCTTATAAATTATTCAGTATATTATTTGTTGTGATTGTGAATTGAATAAGATGACACTTTACCTGATAACATTTATGTTACTAATATAATATTAGACAAGATAACAATTAAAATAGCTAAGTCTCTAACCCAGTACGTACTGCAATAGCATCCAACAAAGTCGTCGACATTAAAACCACAAATTATTTCTTAATTTAAATCAACATTGATGTTGCGATCTTATCGGGAAAAGATGGGCTTCTGATATCCAATATTTAAGACAAAATAAACATGTTACCATTGGTACACGAATCGTGTACCTACATTTATATTGCGTTTCAGTGCCATTTGTAACAAGGGACTCGAAGAACGAGGCTAGATATATTCGACAATTAGTCATGTCAAACGGTGATGTCATATTCTTATCTGGAGAGCATACACAATAAATACTATCGGTGTAGACTGGAATAACGAGACGTTAGAAGTTGCTATTTGATTGAGACTTCTGGCGTATTTCGCTAAACATAACCGATTTGAAATGAGAGTAAAAACGGAAACGATTGAATGTAAATCTGTTTATATACATTCATATTACATTATTATATATGTCATGCGACCCTTTAAAGGAGCTAAATCGCTAATATTTGGGACCTAGAAATTGATCCAAATCCAAATGGGTTGCAACGCATATAATAATAATGTAATCTGATTGTATACATTGTCAAAAACTCGCTGAGATATGGCCATTTGAAATTAGGATGCTGAAACGAATCATAAATTTAGTAACTTTTTAGGTTTTTGGGCGCTTTAAACTCATATTTCTAATTTCAAGACTTGTAGCACCATGGGCCTTCTGTCAAGACGTGGAGAGTGGACGCGTGAAAACGGGAAAACCGGTCGCCACATCCTACGTACGACCCATGCATCTTTTCTTACTACATATCTTAGTAGCCTTGTGATTGTCTAGAATATGTCTCTAGCTGTCTTTGCTTAACCTTCAGGTTGTGTATTTATTCCTTACTGTTTTCTTAAAACGTTTGTCTTTCCAGGAATAACAATGCAACAGTTTGTTTTTACATTTTATATATCATAGCCAGATACATGGATACAAGCATAGTATAGATTACAATACTAAAGTCATTCTCAAACACTAGTCAGCCAGGATCGATGGGCGAGTCTGCCGACAGAAATTGCTACATCTCTTCCCTTCTGGATTCAACCTGCTGTCTGGTGATTGCTCACAAATGTGATAGTTCTATAGCTTGGGTTTTGGACCTTCAGTTATCCAATTGGTCAAATATGATGTAAATAATAAAAGAGATTGGTCAATTTAGGCTTTAATGACGTCGAAACCCACCCTTATATGGTAATGGAAATTTACTGGAGAAACTTCCTATGAGATATCTGTTATCAACCTAGAATTGAATGTTTACCACATTATAACTCTTTTTTATGTAACCATCTGTCACTAATTCGCTAACTTGATTTAAGTACAAATATGTTAATCTACTAACTTGCCAGAGATATTAATTAATACAATATAATGCTATCATTTTTAATAAGAGCAAAAATTCTAGCAATATTAATACAATCGACTTTTGTAAATTCATAAAAGACAAACTGACATTAACTATGCCAATTGTGGAGGTTATATAGAATAGTGACTTTGCCAGAGGCTGTGGAAATCCTGAAAAAAATAGTGAATATTTCATTTGTTCCACATTTTGCCACCTGGTGGCATGAAACGTATGCCTCACATATTGAGTGCGATGCTAAATTCGTAATCTACACCAAAAGTTGTCTTGGATTACAAAGTTAGAGAGTTCTACTCCTATTAGAAATGTGACTTTAAAGCACCTGAAAACTTAAAAACTGAATTTATGGACCGTTTCAGCACCCTAATTTCAAATGTTAAACCCCATTTCTCTCTCTCTCTCCCTACATATTTTTCAGCAGTTCAAAAATTATATTATAGTCTAAAGTTTATTTATTTTGAATATAATAATTATATAAAATTAATTTATTGCCCTGGTAAAAGTGATAATGCATTTATTTGTATTATTCTCTTTCTCTAATTTCAGGTTAAGGGTTGGCCTACTCTAAATGTGTTTTAATATATTAACTGTACGGAAGTGAAGTTATTCAACATGAGCATTTGAATGGTTGAGCACTATAAAGTAGCATTACTCATTTCCTGATTTAAAGAGTAAACAAAGTTATAATACATTGTATGAGAATTACAGTTTTAACTTAACAAACGACTGAAGGAAAATTGACATTTTCAGTGATATTTTACCCATCAGCCTTTGCTAAAATGTGTTTTTGTTATGATAGTCAAATCAAAATATTTGCTTAATGTTTTCAATGAGGTTAGCAGACATAGATAATGACACCCACTAAATGGAAAGCTCTACTTTTCTTTGTGATATTTTTGTCGGTTTCAGGATTTTTCTACACTCAATATTATAGCGAATGTTTTCTGAGAAATTGTCCTCATCTAAAATATGTCGGTGAGGATGCATCTCGACTTTTAGATACAACTAATGAATCCCGGAAATTGAGCAAAAATGATATTGATTTTGAAAAGGAAGACGTGATTGTATTTCTTCACATTCAGAAAACCGGGGGAACCTTTTTTGGAAGGAATCTTGTGAAAAATTTAGCGGTTGATCCACCCTGCATCTGTGGACTCAAGGGGAAAAAAAGGTGCGATTGTTTTACAAAGAATAGAAAAATTTGGTTATTTAGTCGCTATTCTACTGGCTGGCTGTGTGGTCTTCATGCTGATTGGACAGAACTTAAGTCATGTGTGGATGCTAAAATGGATCAAAAGGAAGGACGACACCGTAATAGAAGGTATAATTTTTTTAAACTACACTCAAAGCCATTAAAAGCGCAATGTCAAATTCAAAGTATATTTACTGCAACAACTTTTAACAAATGTACATAACAATTGACAAAATTGAGATAACAAGCATCTGTGGATAATTTCATGAAAGAATTCACTACAAATGCACAAAACCAAAGCAGGGGTCAGCTGAAGTCAATATCGGGTATGTCCAGCCAGAGCTCATACACATACCTGAAGTCGCCTTGGCATGGACTTGCACAGATGTCTCACTACACGCTGTGGGATTGTTTGCCAATGATTTTGGAGTGCCCGTGCCAACTCGGCAACAGTTTGTGGTGGCACGGCTTGAGTTCGAACCCGTCGTCCAAGTTCATCCCAAAGCTGTTCGATCGGGTTCATAGCAGGCCAATCCAAAACATGGACATGATGATTGTTCAGAAAGTCTCTTGTCAACCTGGCAGTGTGGGGTTGGGCGTTGTCATGCTGGAAAACCATGTGTCGACGGACGCCGTGTTGAACCAGCAATGGAAGCAACACCGACTGAAGGATGGCATCAACAAAATGTTGAGTGTTGAGATTGCCAACACCAACTAGGACCGGAAGTTGACGTTAATAGTGGTCTGACAAGGACAGCTGTCTAGTCGTTCGGATGGGACGAAAAACCGAGTTTCCGTGTACATATTGGCGTGCACGTAAAAGATCCCTTGGCAGTTGGAATTCGATATATGAGTAAGCCGTAGCGCTGCTACCCGGGCAAAATTTCCCTCATAGCACACTGTATGGTGTATGCCCGTCTTCATTAGCCCAGTTTAGGAGCATGTTTAAAACGACGCCCCATGGACATGCTTTCGTCTGCAACTATTTTGTTGAGAAGCGACACCTATGACGCTTTCGTCTTGATCAACCAGTTTCAATAATGAATCAAACCATAGCCATAGTAAAGGGAAATAACTCTTGTGATATATTTCAGGTTGACACACAAAATAAAATAAAAAGATCGCGGAAAAGTGCAATAAAATAATTTAAGTCGGGGGTGGTTTTAGTTAGTCGGTCGTGTTAGGCGAAACAAAGATATTTTTAAGGTCAGCCTGAATAAAAGTTTTTGTTAATGGTGATCTTCATTAGAATATGTTTTCTATCATTTGAATGATAAAAAACCAAGTCTGCAGTACTCATGCAGTCATATTGAAACATTTGAAGGAATATTATGGAGACACTGTGACTAGTAGATGTGTTGTTGTATGCCGCCCAGTTAGAACACTAATTTACATTTCCCCAAATATTACTCACAATAGTCAATATGAATATGATAGTACCATGATATAAAATCAAAGTTTCTTGTAAATTATCTAGGATAATTCTTTAGTATGCATGTAATATACATGTCTTATGGTACTTTAAAAGTGCCCTTTTGTGATTATTTTAAGAATTATGTTGTTGGTTTTTTTTTAAATTGCAGATTTCATTATATTACTGTACTAAGAAATCCAATACTTCGCTATCTTAGTGAATGGAAGCATGTTGCACGGGGAGCCACATGGAAAGGTTCAAGACTTTATTGTAACGGACGTGAAGCAACTTTAGAGGAGGTTCCGTTTTGTTATGAGGATTCTGATTGGATGGATGTTACCCTTGAGGAATTTTTAGACTGTCCGCACAATCTAGCAAATAATAGACAAACTCGCATGTTAGCGGATTTAAGTAAAGTTAATTGTTATAACACGACTACAATGAGTTCGAAGGAAAGAGATTTCAAAATGTTACAAAGTGCCCAAAAAAATCTTCAAGACATGGCATACTTTGGACTAACGGAATATCAGAATTATTCCCAGCTTTTGTTTGAGGAAACATTTAACGTGCCCTTTATTGATGACTTTGAACAAAAAGAAGACACAAAAGGAAGTAAAGTGAAGATAGATTCTTACCTTGAGAGACTAACGGAAAGGAATCATTTAGACATTAAACTATATGAGTTTGCTAAAGATCTGTTCTTTTGGCGAGTACATAATATACTCAATATTACTGTTTGATGAAATTTAATTTTCATTTGTATTTTATTATCAGACTGAATCGTTCTACCGTTTCAGTGGTCTATAACACATGTAGCTAGAGCTGCCACCATACATGTACCTGTATATCATTCAGTGCATGGTGATTCACCATCTCGTACCTCGCTGTATGAGTATCAAGATGCTCCTTTGATTCTTCAACCCCATCTTTTTCTCTTACAAACTAGGTCAATTCGTTACAACACATCTTTAACTACAAGTACATGTAGGGTACTATACACGTACAGTACATGTAGCAATGGGAGGAAACTGCATGACCAGGTGAAAACCAAGACGACTGAACTAGAGAACTTACTCTTTGTCATATGCTATCTGTGAATCAAAACCAAGCCATTTGACACATTGGCAGGGAGAAAGGTCCCACAATTCAATCTAATTATTTTTATAATTTATGTAAATGTACTGTGTACATTGTATAACATATTTATTTTATAGTTTTTATATGCCCACATTGAAATGTGTTGTATATTGTCTACACCCCCATCCGGTAGTCCAGCATCCACAATTGCTAGTAGACTCTCTAGAGGCTGAAGATAATAACTGATTGACTTTAAATTTATACATAGTGTTTGCAGTCATGAGACGAAAAATCCTATTACTTTTCACTACTAGAGTTATGACTTGATTACTTGAGAAATCTTATGGATGTTATAGAGGCTAAAGTTAATATAAATTCAAACTCATGAGATAAACAATCGAAAACAAATGATTTCTGATAATTACGTAAAGGGTTATTACTCGTAATCAGATTTAAGTGTTTTGTAAATGTTTCCATTACTTACAAAAATAAAAAATATGTGACAACCCTTGTTGCCTGCTTGGACGACTTAGCTGCTATGGACGTATGGTTATTTTAGTTTCCTTTCAACCTATCTTTTTTTTTATTCACAAGGAATGGTCACACATCATGTGAGCATCAAAGCAATTCACTATAGCAATAGAAATATCTGATAAACAAAATGGGCTAATCTAAGCTATCTCACCTCAAATTTTCAAAAAGTAATATATGATCGGTGCTGGCAAATTGAGTTTCGATGAGGAAATTTTGAAAATTGAGGTATTGTTATTTTCACATTCTCCACCTTTAATACCTTCAAAATGATGTAGAGTTGGTATGAATCGTACAAAAATTGACTGAGCTATAGTTCCGACAAAAAGCAAGTTAAAGATTTCGGTATGGTCTAAAGCAAAACCACGGCATAATATTTGTTAATTTTTTCGTTTAATAGGTCTTTCTGTGTTATACCATACATGTAATTTAGAACAAAAGAGAGTAGTCCATAGATTAGTAATGTAGGTTTTGTATATAATAACTTTTATGGGAATAACTTCTGTTAATCTCACCAGTTAATTAGCAACTTAGGGTAAGTACTCACTGGTCAGGAGATTAAGATTGTTGATTGGGTAATCAGGTTTAGTTTCTTCATCATACATGTGTTCTTTTAATCTTCGTCACATGACTGAATTAAAATATGGTTTTGCGTGTACAATTATAGGGCTACTGTTATTTTCAGGTACTGTAATGGTATCAGAATCTGAACCCCTAATACATGTAGAATGTTAGAAATTTCAATTTCATTTGTAACACTAGTAAGAATATGGTACTGTTACTAAATGTCCAAATAAAGGTGTTTTAAATATTTTATTGCTATTTTGATCTTTTGGGTCGATAGATAATATATTTATAGACTCGTTTTTGTGAAAATCTCAATTTCGATCAAAATCAATATTTTCACTTTTAGCTCAATTTTAGACTTTGCACATTCCGACTCATTTTGCCAGCACGGGTCACAATTTTGCGATCTTAAAATGGTGGCCATAAGCTACATGTACATGTAGCATGTTACTCATTCACTACCTGGAATATATGTTTGTTAATGTATAAATAGATAAAAAAATACGTCCAGGTAAAAAATTCACCACTTTACTTCATTCTGACATACAATGTACATTAAATCATATACACATGTAAGCTAGCTGTCTGCCCTCTATAGGTAGCTTCAGATATTAATAATGTATACAAAATTAAATTTTTACCATACATATATATACATTGGTAGAATAATGTACATGTGTAAATACATGTACATCATTATTAATTCAACTGATCATTCTGCTCACAACAAGGTCCACTACTTCAATCAAAGTTTGAGACCTACATGCATGTGCATGTAGCACTACGATGGCATTGTGAATTAGTTAATTACTGCATACTACATGTATCGTTGCAGTTAATAAACCTAGTGAATTTTATCCATAAAGCTGTCTGTTACTAATTGTCCCCCACCATTCGAAGAAAGCAGGGGACTATTAAATGGGTCTTTCTGTCTGTCCGTCACACCTTTTCGGCCACAATAAATCTCCTAATTGAGCTACAATGTTCAAACTTGGTGTAGGTGTTTATTAGGTGAATGTCTTCCTTGATGGAGTTATGAGCATTTTCTGCTTAGGGTAAGCAGAGATAAGCAATTTGATTGGTTGATGTTTTGAGACATGATAACTTTGGTTCTAATTAAGTGAGAGTAATGAAACTTATCGATTCATTACATTAATACCTTGACTAAGTTCGATAATGAGCATTTTCTGCTTTAGAGTAAAGAGTGATAAGCAATTTGATTGCTTGAGACTTTTAAACATGATAACTTTGGTTCTAATTGGATGAGTATAGATTCATTATGTGAATACCTTGACTAAGTTTGAAGATGAGAATTTTCTGCTTAGGCTAAGCAAAGTAGCGATAAAGAATTTGATTGGTCAAGACTTTAAAACATAACAACTTTGCTTTTAATTGAGGAATGTTCATTAGGTGAATATCTCAACTAAGTTGATTGATTAACTAAAGCTATGCAGAGCTAAGCAATAATAATTTCTTTGGTCGATGCTTTGGGATAACTTTGATTGTAACTGATGAAGAGTGATGAAACTTAATGTGTAGTTTCACTACCGGGGTAGGTGGGTACCGGTACTTCAAAACCTTGACTGAGTTTGATAGTGAACATTTATGCTTAAACTAATTATAGATAATCGGTTTGATTGCTGGACACTTGAAAAAGATAAATATGCAATTAATTAATATGTGTCATCTATTTATTTGGGGATTTCAGTGGAGGGCATCAGCCTCGCTGTTGGCTTGTTATTGTACATGTAATATGCATATATATCCCTTAGTTTTGTCAAATGTCATTCCTGATAATAATTAAATTTTTACTAGTATTGTGCCAAATAAACTATTTGTAATATTTATTTTGTGTAGTTTTCCATGTGAAAGAAATATATATATATTAAAATATAAGTTTTATGAAATATATTACATAAGAATTACTCTCAAGTAGGGCTGCGCTCTTTAATTCATGTTTTTTCTGCTGCTAAGATTTCAACATGTAGTGGTTCTTTATCAAAGAGTATCTTGAAATTATCTGTATTTTTACCCATGAAATTTTATTTCATTGTATTTAAAACCTTTGGATATTTAAAGATGTAATTCTTATGGATGCCTGATTTTATGGTAGTAGTAAAATCATGATACAGGGTACATTTTTTTTAGCTGGTCTACTTTATCACTCTGGTCTTGCAGGTATAGAGATTAGACACTGTTTATTTCTTGTAACCTTGTCATAATACTTTGCTTGTTTTTTTAGAGATGACTTTAGTTATAAAATCCCTTTCACTCTATCATATGTAGGGATATTATTTCTACATTTAAATTACATTTAGTTAAACAACTGTCATTTTTTTTCTGTCAAAAATAGCATTTTTGGTTAATATTCATCATTTAATATTTACATGTAATTTTTTTTTTATTGTAACAGCCTTATTCTACAATCATATGGAGCCTTGTAGTCATAAACATTAGTTACATTAGACCAACTTATTGTTCTCTTATAATTGACCCATTTGTGATAACTGTCTTTTCAGAAAAAAAAATGACACACTTAAAAATTGAAACAAATGATCAAGGAATAGATGCTATACACATATCTATTGAAATGTAGATATGTATGTTATTGTACAAATGTATTTTCTCTCTAATAACTTACATGTTGTATATGTCTAGGCTACCTGGTCTTTACAACCAGTAATCTTTACATAAAACTGTGTTCTTTTTATCTTACATGGTGGTCACATGCCCAATATAAAATGTTTATATACATAAAATGTCACAGTTTGTTCTTTTGTCATTGTTGTGAAAAGTCTTAATGAAGATAAGGTGCTAGCAATTTAGTAATAGTCGGAGAAAGAGCAACTTTTAAATACAATTCTTTTACATTCCACGTTAAAGGCTGCCAGGAACGGTTTCAAAGAACGTTAAACGGAGTAGCCTACAGCATGAATTGTCACAATATTTAAAGATACATTTCCGTGTACAAACTAGGTGATTTGATGATATATTTGGACTAAAACATATTCATACTATTTAATCATCAAAATTTTGCTTCAAATCATTCGCAAAACATTGTATTCGCGAGGAAATACTCCAAGCTATAACAAATCTATTAAAAGAAGTCGTGTTTGTGTCACGTGACTTTGCTGACGAGGTATCTAGCAACGGGTGCGAAGCCGGGGGAGAATTCATTGCATATACAAGACGATGTTTTCTTTAATCGCTGTCCATTTATCATAAATATCGATACATAATTAAATTCTCGGATTATCCACTGTCCCGTCCCCGGGAATCCTAGTTCCTTTAGGAACTGTCTCTGATCGGACGATGTCCGCTGACAGTTTCTATCGCTTGCTATATACATGTAGCTGCAATATGAAATACCACTCATCCCTACCTCTGGTCTAAGGCTATTTTTTAATCCTTACCGGCTATTTTTCACCCTGATTCTTCGTTTGCCAAAGGAATCATTTCTTGCCACAGCTGACACACGTTTATAATAATTCTGCACTATTAAATTCTCGGATTATCCACTGCCCACGTCATTTTAAGTGATACTATTGAAAAAGATAAATGTGCAATTAATAAATACTGTTATCGATTTATTTTGGGATTTAAGTCCGGTACATTAGCCTCACTGATGGCTTGTCAACCATAAAATGTGCCATGGAAGTGTCGGAAATCATAATATATAGTCCTTAATAATCCTGCTCATCGTCATATGAGGGATATTCAATCCCCTGAGGAAAGTTGAATCTCTATAGTCCAATTTCGTCCAATTCAATATTTATAAAGATATGACGAATTGAAAATTTCACAACATTCTGCACATGGTAAAAACGCGATATGGTAAGTGGCGGATGCCAATTTGGTTAGGAGGAGGCGTGGGGTTCCTCTTCGAGAATATGTGTTAGAAATCAGAGTTTCAAATGCCAATGGTTCACAGCTGGACCTGAATATAACATTCAAGTTCATTAGCTACAACGGCACTAGGCCTAGTATGCAAAGATGTGAGAATGGATTGATATATAAGAACAGATTGAATTATTGAAATTAAGCACGGTAGCTTTTACTACAATAATGTTAACAGTCATAATTTCAAACTTAATAAAAAAAAAATTAATTTAATTTCACTCTTTGAAAGTGGCCTCGTTGGAACATCTAAAAATCAGTTTTCAGTTCCAAATGAAAGCTAACAAGATATAAATTAATTCCATAACTAATAACAGTTTGTACAATAAAATATCAATAAAAATAATACAGTGGAATAGGTTATTTTTTATTATTAAGTGTACAATATGCCTGGTTTATATCGTCTGTAAAAATTTGACCAGGTACAGTGTTAAAGAAGTATGAAGTGCCACGACAGACATCTGGGAACTGGACACTATTTACGCACCGCATATATTCTGTACAGGAACCTCTTACAGGAATATAGGAAAAGTTGATTTTTCCATTACAACTGTATGGATCACTTGCTAAAACAATAAAACATATTTTTTGTGTAAATAGTTATAAAAATCGTCACTCAAGAATGTAATTTATTGTTATTTAATAATTTATTGTTATTTAATAATTTATTGTTATTTAATAATTTATTGTTATTTAATTAGTAGAACTGATCAACGTGTGAAACTAATAATTGTAAAAAAAAAAATCATTGCCATCAGTTCACGCCCAAAGAGCGTGTGATTTATCCAATCATGCGGTAGACCACTGTATCAAGGTCATATTTAGATGAAAATAATATTAATTTTATTTAATTTAGTAATGTGCATTGTTTGTTAAGATAAGTTTGTCCGGGTAGAATTCCGACAGCTAAGATTTTGTTCACGACCATATTTTGCTCAATCCAATTACCTTCCCATAATATTAGAAGCCGGGTTAGAAAAGTCCCACATCAATGTTTAAAGTCAAACAATAATGGGGCGTTCACAGCGATCTTATGATAATATGCATTATATTTGTTAGGGTTTAACAAAGTGTTAAATTTAGATTTAAGAAAAAAGAAGGTCCGAGAAATTATAAAAATAAGTCACCTTGACTTGGATCCATTGTTGTGGTAGCTGTAATATATAAGATAGATATCATATATACTATTCAAAAAAAGTAGGGGATATTTGATTTTTAAGTGTTATTAAAGTCACCTAATGAAACTGACGAAGAAACAAATGACAAAATGAAATGAAGTTCACATTCATCGATTTATTCCAAATGATCGTTAGACTAAGTAAGGCACAGACTGACCATTATAAGGGTAAAATGATACCCGGGGTCAAACAGCAAAGTTACCACAGCATCACAACCAAGTCAGTAACGGGTAAATCCTCCTCTGTTTGCCAAACAAGCATTGATCCGACGTGGCATACTCATAATGAGACGTCTAAGGTCATTTTGGTCCAGATTGTCCCATTCCTGTTGCAACGCAGCAGCAAGTTCTTGGACATTGGCAGGACGTTGTTGACGTTGACGTAACCTCTGTCCAAGCATGTCCCAGACATGCTCGATGGGGGAGAGGTCGGGACTCAGTGCTGGCCAAGGTAATGTGGTGATGTTCTGTTGTTGGAGGTAACCTGTAACGATCCTGGCCCTGTGACATCTTGCGTTGTCATCGTGGAAGATGAAACGGCGGCCATGACGTCGTGCAAACGGCACAACATGGACTGCCAAGATGTTGTCCCGGTAGTACTGGCCTGTAACACGCCCTGCAACAACATGTAAAGCCGTTCTTCCAGCAACAGTGATGCCTCCCCACACCATAACAGAACCACCCCCAAATCGATCATGTCTGATGACGTTAACGTCTTGGAAGCGCTCGTTTCGACGACGCCACACCCTCCTACGTCTGTCCAAAAAATCAACAGTGAACCTTGACTCATCTGAAAACATCACATTGCTCCAGCGTCGATTATCCCAGTGTTGACGATCCCTACACCAACGACGTCTTGCCTGAATGTGATGATCTCTCAAACAAGGGATCACGCGAGGACGTCGGGCGCGAAGGTGACCCCTATGCAGTCGATTCCGAATCGTCTGGCCACTCACTCTCACACCAGTGTCTGTTTGAAGACGAGCGCTGATCTGATTTGCTGTGATGACACGATTTCTCAAGGCCAAGGTACGGATAAATCGATCCTGGGCTTGAGTTGTCGCCCTTGGTCGACCTGAGCGTGGTCTGTCCTGTACAGATTGTGTATCACGGTATCTGGACCATAGCCTGCTTATGACAGACTGAGAAACATTCATCGTCCGCGCCACAACCGCCTGTGTTGTGCCGATCTGTAGCATGCCAAGGGCACGTAACCTTTCATTTTGGGTAAGCCGACGCATATCAAAATTTGTTTTCTGGTCACTAAAACAATTAAACTGATGTTTCCACCCTAGAATTCAATGCCACAATGACTGTAACATTCAAAGTCAGAGTCGTGCAAATCTTGGGTTGGACCCCCATGATGATTCCAAGCATTACCTGCATTCCATGCGGTAGCTATTGGTGCGTTTGGGCGTCACATGTAACTGGAAATGTTTCTTCTGTTAGGTTCTATAGTGACTTTTTTCGTAGTCATTTGCATATTTTAGTATTATGCCCCCAAAATCAAATATCCCCTACTTTTTTTGAATAGTATATTTCAATTTTCAATTGCAATCCTGCTACTGCTATTGATTAGCTGGTTTAGACAATGCTTTTTTCAGGTGATAAGGAAGGAAGAAACAAAAAGAGGTGCTATCGAGCATACCCGTATCCTACCTTTTAAAATACACCAAATAAGCGCAAAATAACAATATGTTCTTGGGGCGGTAGTGGTGTTTGGATAGTTTGGGTTTTCTTGGTTGCATCCTATTTTGTTCTTCTTGTTTATTTTCATTGAAAGGGATTTCGGGGGGCTGGACCCCAATCCAAATTTACAATGTGAAATTGCGCCAAATAAAACGAAAATATTAAATATGCTTGGTGGGGGCAATGATTTCCATTATCTCAGAACGACTGTTCCTACCAGCCCCTATAACGTACTTATATAGGTGTACAAACTAATTGTTTCTGCCAACAGGAGGAAGATCAGTTTTTGTGTGCTGGATTGTATTTGTTTATTTGAAATGGTATACATGTACCTCCCGCCATTCAATAACGAGCACCAACTTTTCCACTGATGACGTGGGGAGGGTGGAGGTTAATTCCCAATTATTCTTAAATCGATTTTTAAAAGTATTCATATATAATATATATATTCCAATTACCTCTGGGTTGAGTATATGATTGACTTGCTTCGTTGAAACAATAAACTCCAGCTTTGTTACAATTGTTTATATAAATGATACCATTAAAACACTGGACATATTGGTAACAGTCATCATAAGGATGATCATACAAACCATCCGTCTTGTTAGAGCAATAATCACCTGATTAAAAAGAAATAACATTTATTTACATGAATGATCTACATGTACAAAATCCACAGTAAATTATAATATTCTGGCGATATTGCTGAACCTAAATTTGGATGGGAAGCAACGCTGGTATTTAACAAGAAAAGCTCACGAAAAGGCAGTTGTACTTAAACAATTATCTGTTCTTTGACTTAATGGAAGGGGGAGAGGGGTGGGGGTTAAAGGGAGCAACGTCCCCGGGCACCTTAGTTCCTTTAGGAACTGTCTCTAAGCGGACGATGTCCGCTGACAGTTCCTATCTCTTGCTATACTGCAATATGAAATACCGCTCACCCCTACCTCTGGTCTAAGGCTATTTTTTAATCCTTATCGGCTATTTTTCACCCTGATTCTTCTTTGTTTGCCAAAGGAATCATTTCTTGCCACAGCTGACACACATTTATAATAATTCAACACTATTTTCAAGCAGAATTTTGCGATTAAAAACAAGCACAAAATACGTTTGAACTGATCAACCATTAAGAGACCCGAACATGCGCAGATCGCATGTTTATTTAATCGCTAAATTCTACTGGAACATAGTGTTTAATTATTATAAATTTGTGTCAGATATGACAAGAAATGATTCCTTTTGCGAAATATAAACATTCACGGTGAAAAATAGAAGGTGGAGAAGAGCGGTAATTTACTGTATTTTCATATTGCAGCTATATAGTAAGCGATATGAACTGTCAGTGGACATCGTCCGATCTGAGACAGTTCCTAAAGAAACTACGGGCATCCATGAAAGGTTATTAGATTTTTTGAAATTTTTCTGTTTAATTAATTGTAAAAGCTACCTTACTTAATCTGTTTTTACATATTCCTTTCTGAGTGCTAGGATACTGGAATGTTAGGGCATACACACACGTAGAAGGCCCCGGGCATCATTGTTTCTAAGCCCGGCAAATAATAACCAGGGGCGGATCCAGAGGAGGGGGTGGGGCAAACCCGACCCTGCTCAGCTACATAAAAATTTTTTTTTTAAAAAACACTTTATGAGAAAAGTGTAACGGCTGTGTGCTTTATCCTTTATTATCAGATGGTGGGATGGGAGTGGCATTCAAAGCGTGAAATAATGATATAGACATGTGTGATATCACAATTAATGCTTTGCATCAATGACATTGAATCACAATGATCCTTTTAATTCAGTATAAAAACTGACATCAAACGGACTGTTGGATTTCTCTTATTAATAAGCTCAATGTGTATGTGCCAACGAAGTTAAGAGACGCATGACATCATACATTGTCAACTGTCAAATTTCCCAAACAGGAACCTGGTAAACACCCTCCTGCAAAAATTCCTGTATCCGCCCCTGTTAACTCACCTGGAACAACAAATATATGTTTACACAATGACGTCTTTCTACTTCCTTGATCAACATTACAAAATAAACTAGAATTATGCCAGCTTATGTTAAATGTTGTAATAAAAGATGAAACGTGTTTATTAATACAAGATTCTGAAGAATTTGTTTCTTGTGTAGGGTTGAAATTAAAATTCTCAAACTTTCGGCCATCTTGGAACTCTGCAGACCACGTTACCATAGAAGCCGGTATACCAATGTCTACTGAACATATTATTTTCTGTTTTAATAATTTGTCCTCGACTACCTCATCAGGAATTGTTACAACCGGTACTTCTGATGCCACTGTAAGCAAGAAATATGCCACGATAATAACACCTTCAATCTTCAATAATGATATGATGGTGATGAACCAGGCAAGCATGAATGTACTTTAATAACGGATTTGCAATGATGTTGATGCATGGCGTTTACAATCTTTGGCGGTGTACCCCATCTTTATCATTATTTAAATTCCTAATATTCATTCCCAGTGTATTTTTGTGTTCTGGTCTATTTTTATTGCATTATTGTTATTAATTTATACTATATTTTCCTGTCACCATGGCCTATTCAATTTCATACCACCTACCGTCTATATTTGTCTATTAGCATACTCAATGTAGACATAATTGTATGTTGTCATGTCACGGTAAAGATGAGTTTTTGCGCCTAACGTTTTATGTGAAAGTAAAAGTCGTAGAAGAAAATATGTCAAAACGGACCCATTAACTGCAACTCTTCGCAGTTGTAGTCATAAATATAACTGATATAGAAAAACAAACCACGTTTTGTAATAGAGCTTAGCGAACCTGATATGCCATGTTGAAAACACGGCAAATAAACGATAACATTTTAGGTTTATTTTAACCACTATACGGGGTAAATGGAAATCTTTGGAAGAAGACAGATATACCCAGGTTTCAACTGTATTGTAAGATACAAAGCTTTATAAATATGTCCCGGTGAGTCCCCTAGCTGTTTTATATATCATAGTATTTTAGTTTAAATATCTTATCAACGAAAAGTCAAATTAGCATTTTCCAATATCTTGTTTCCATCGATATAACACCAACTGTTGTAATAAAAGTACGGGATCCCGCTTGGTATTTAGTAATGGTCGGGGTTTTAACCGTGGGTCCATTTTACCTCTAACTCAAATCCATATAAATTTACTAACTTAATTAACCGATGTTTCATTTGTAGACGTCTTATATATAATAATATAGTTGTGATTTTGAGTAAAGAATATGCCAGAAAAGCAATGAGTTTTTCTGAAGGTAATGGTAGTAAGTTATTGATCATTAATTATCAGTATCATCTTTAAATACCCGAACAAATATAAAATAAACAGCATTATAAAATGCTTTGTTATTATGAAGTTATTTGGAAGTTTAACTGTTCCATTTCATAGTGAACAAACAAACCAACTTCCTATTATACGTGTATATACGTGTATTATACAGTGGTAGCTTAATACATACCTCTTACTTCTATTGTGGCTGTTTGTTGTACAACACCCCAATCACCACCAATACTACATGTATAATTACCAGAATGAGTACAATTTGGTTCTTCTAATGACATTAAATATATCTGTTTATCTGAATTACTTTCATTTCTGAAAGTCCACTGAGGCTGAATTTCGATTATATCACCAGTAATCTTTCCAGCTTCAATACCATTGACGTTGAAAATGATCCGTGTAAAATGATCAACATTACTTATGTTACATCCAAGAGTCAAATTACCTTCATCCTGATACATTACTACATCACGAACATACACGTCTAGAATATAGAAATAATAATAGATATAGAATGAAAAGTAAAAGTGAATCAAATTAATGAAAACAATATCATACCAATGTGAACAGCTGAAAAAACCGTGAAGTGACCCCGAAAGACTAGGTTTACCAGGCCTCGTAATCGACACACTGGAGCCATAGTTTGAAACCAATACAGTATTTGTTTAAATATAAAAGTACACCAAAATTTTTCAGCTGATTTAAGTTTGAGTTAATCATTGCAATACCTGTACCGGTAGATGGTCCATCCAGCACACTGTATGAAAAAAATACAAAACAATTTCTAATGAGTGCTGCCACATGGCCTTTTTGATTACTACATTCCGAAACAATAGTTACCTGGTTGTGTAATAGTAGAATAAGCGGATGATGATAACTGTAAAGTATCTTGAGTAGGTGATGGTCTTAGTGAATATGACAGAAACGTAACTGCTGTTGATTGTATAGAAAATATTCCAGTAGATATTAACGCAGAGCTAATTACCGTTTTATCAAGTTTAGAAGATATTATTTCTGTTGTATTGTAATTCCTTTCGGATGAACTTTGTTCTAATTTACTATAAGCATTTCCAGATGAACTTGACTTCCATGTGGTGGATGATTGCACTAAAGATACTGATAGGCTCAATTTATAAGAAATTAATGAAGACGTCGTATCCGCCTCTGCTTTACTATATACGGACGAACTTAATTCCAAGGAGCTGGATGGTGTTTCAGCTGAACTGAGTTCTAACGTGCGACGAGTCGTTTCAAATGAACCTGCAATTAAATCACTTAACGTTGGCGAACTTGATTCTAGCATATCAGACATCTCCATGTCCTCTGATGAATCAATCTTAACAGGAGTACTGATTAAAACTGAAAGTGATTCCTTTAAACCTTGGATTTCGGATGATGTCAATTCCCATATTACAGAGGTACTCCCTGTTATTTTAATGGGAATAGTTGCAGCTAAACTTAGAGCTGATGATACTTCTGTATCCTGATCTGAAAAAGAGACATTAGCTTCAATGTTTTTGCCTGTTGGTAAGAAATGGTTTTCATTTTGACGTGATTTGAGTATACAAGATGGTGTTCAAATTCGAATGTATTGCAGAATTTGAAAGAAATCTGTCAATTCAATCCTCGGATAAAGACATACACAGTTTTGAATGGTTTTCATGACGTTTATCGAAAGCCCATCAGGAAGCCAGTTCTTGGATTTCCGATCGTTATTTGGTTTTAAGGTTATCTAAATGGAATTTTTTAGCGAAGTGTAAATACCCCCTCACCACACTCTTCAGAATCGATAGAAATAAGTATAATAACACAAAAAAGGTCAATACAATTCCCACTGTTATGGTGGATAGCCTTTGTTGGGATGTTTTCCTTTACAATCATACGAGTCTCTAAAGTTTTAACATCATTAAATTCAAACAGTCCTACAATATAGCTCGAACCTTCTGGCTTGCTTTCTTTTATAGCTATTAAAAGTTTAGTACTAAATTCCTTAGAATCGCCGGAAAAACTAGCATATATTATGAACTCAGCAATAATTGAACCCTGTCTGAAAAACAAAATGACAAGTCAAATAAATTAACAATGGAAGATACCGTATATAATTCCTTATCGCAGCATTAACCACAATCATTGCATCAAGTACGAGAATACTATATGGACCGTCAATCGATGCGCAATTGCCCAAAGAACAAGCATGCCAACATGTCGACCGTACTCGAATTGACAGAGCCTTGGACAGTTTTGATAACATTGTCAGGTGGTAGAGTCGGGGTGGGGTGTGGGATCATTATTGTTTTTTAAAAGGTATTACTTTACTGTGTCTAGGAGACAGTCTGTTTCCCCGTTTACTTTTACTTGTATCTGAAAAGAAAAATAAACAGGTTATTTAAAAAAGAAAAACACAAAGTTAACATCGGTTGTGACAATATCACCAATACGGTTATTACAGCTAGAAAGTCACAAACTAATGCTTTTCTAGAATTTTCTTGACAAATACATTTTTTTAAAATGAAGTCCAGTGGCTTACCGCATTACATAATTCCTCCTGGAAACGTAGAAATTCTTCTGAAGATTTATTCTCTAATTCTTCTGTGAAATTACGATTTGTTATTCGTCCATACATCCTTGATTCTGCTCAAATTCACAAAAGAAAACAATTTATACCACACGAAACTAAGTTAAACGTGCAAGATGGTGTACAGATATATCGTCAAAATAATCATATTTAGGCAACTATTTTAATTTAAAGACTGCAATAAGTATAATGTATATATATATTTAAGATAACATAAATGAAAAATATAAATGCAAATGTATAAAATAGAGTATATTCTAAATGATAAAATAGAGTATATTCTAAATGGGTAATATAAATTAGGGTATAATCGAAATTGGTAATATGAAATAGGTTATAATCGAAATGGGTAATATAAGATGTAATTTATATAATAAATAGGTAAATAAGTGCATAATATAAATGGATAATATAAAAGTATAATATAAATGGGTAATATACGATTATTTTGTAATATAAATGGGTAATATAAGATTTATTGTCGTATTAATGGGTAATATGAGATATTTTGTAGTATACGTGGGTAATATAGGATATTTTGTAATATAATCGGGCAATACACTATGTTTTGTAACATAAATGGGTAATATAAGATGCTTTGTGGTATAAAAGGGTAATATAAGGCGTTCGGTAATATAAATGGGTAATATAAGATGCTTTGTAGTATAAAAGGGTAATGTAAGATGTTTGGTAATATGAATGAGTAATATACGATGTGGTTTAACATTGATGGGTTATGTAAGATGTTTTGTATACGTGGGTGTTATATAAATGAGTAATATAAATGAGTAACATAAGATGTTTTGTAACATAAATGGGTAATATAAACGGGTACTGTAATACGTTTAATAATATAAATGGATGGTATAAGATGTTTTGTAACATAAATTGCTAGTACAAGATATTTTGTAATATAAACAGATAGAATACGATTTTTGGGGATATAAATGTACAGTATATTATGATGTTTAGTAATATAAATGGATAGTATAAGATGTTTTGTATATAAATATGATAAATAAAAAATGTATAAGAATTTTTTGTATAATTGTGTAGCGTATAATGGAAATTGGCAAATAGAAAACTAAACAAACAAATATTGTGAAGTGGTTATTTTTTTTACCGAAACTGATCAAATGAAAAATATACATGTACCTATAAAGTTGTTTCTTGACGCTGAAAGTAAAATATGCAAAGACTCATCGTTGATACAAAACGCATTTTTTCATGGCTACTGAAAGGAATATCAATGTGCATCTAGAGACGTCGTAGTGTTGTCAAATAATATTTTCCAAATTATATCTGAATCAATCTTAATCAACAGGTATTGCTGTAACGCGATTAAGGTTATCAGGTATATCGACATAAAGTTAAACTTGGTATATTGTTATTCATGGAGCTAGAATAATATACTGGACTGGACAGTTTGCTTTGGGTTAAGTAGTTAAACTGGGTGGATTATATGAGAATGTCTGGTGTTTCAAATGTGGTCGTAGACCTTGGTAGCCATCATTTGCCCCTCCTCCAACCCCACACACCCACCGACCACCACACAGAACTTCGCACGTCATATCCACATATAGCCATATTATGCCCTGATGTTGGAAACCAGAGTGGTGTAGTTGCCCTTGGCCAATCAAACGCGAGGACTAAACTTTAAAGGAGCTACCCGGGTCACAATTCGGTAGATATTTTGATGCGTTCCTAGAAAGACAATGTAGCGTTTTAGGAGTAGGCCTTGGTTCTAGGCTCGTCGATTTCAGACTACAGTTTTTAACAGAGATGGAAAGTTTTATCAATATTTAAAAGTACACAGCGTGAATGTCACAAAAGTCAGAATATTACATCTGCAATTAGCTGCCGTTACATTTAGTAGTGTCACATTATTTTTAAAGAAAAAAGAGATATTATATACTTACGAACGAAAATGACATGTACAAGAACAGCTGAAACAATACAAGTTACTAATACAATAACGACGGCTAAAGTAACCAGTGAAGTAGCTAGCTTTCTTTGGCGTTTAAATTTCTTTTCTGCCTCTGTGACAAGTGTAGCTGCTACTATCAGATTTTCCCTGAAGTTGTTCTGTTATGCAAAGCGGCCTTTGGAATAATTGCTCTGTTTCTAAAGGACGCACAGGTCTGCTGGGATCTAATATCTGCCCATGTTTTTCGATCCATCTAGATTTTACCTGTTAAGTTTGAATATTTGTCAATGTTCAATTACCAATTATTATTGCAATATTTGACAAAAAGTTATAGTATACTACATTCAGATGATATGCATATGGAAAGCCTTAAACTAGATCAATGTTTAGTATACGAGTTGCATTCTAACTGAGTTTTACTCTACAACTTTATTTTGTCTTAAAAGTAATGCTTTAATGTTATGTTATTTAATGCTCCAATATACCAGAGGTTAAATATCGAGTTTAATTCTATATACAATCAGCAGACAATATTGGTCAAGTTTAGCAATTTTAACGTAGGTTATTGTCAGAATTGATGTCTTAATCCAATAAGGTAATATATTAAGTCAGTAATTTGTTTCATACAAGCCAGACAATTCTTCATTTATAAGCGATTTCGACTATGCGTTTTAAGAACACAATAATAACAGTAGGCTACATGTACCCTTGAGATATAGCCTTTCTTGCACTGAAATTCTTAAAATATATTTGTGGCTAATGGTGTAGTTTATATTTTATTTGGACTGCCAATGTTGTTTGTAGTATAGGGGAGCTCAGTGTGTAAGACGAAATTTGTCCAATGGCTGCCATGAGTATCTGGGTGATATTATGATACACAATGTTCGTTATAATATGTTTGTTTAAAATATAAACTTACTATTACCTATGGTTATTTATTTATTTAACTATATATGATCTAGTTACATTACAGTTTTGTTATTCTTCGTGTATATAGGCTATATACACGAAAAATAAAGAAAATGTTATGTAACTAGATGTTATATAATTTTACCATAACGAAAAACGATTGTCACGGAAAATATAATATTTTGAAGAATCTACGGTACTTTTTCCAAAATTATTACGCTCTAGAAGGGGATAACAAAAAGGTAAATGACAACCCGTTTTTACCTTTCGGTAAATTTATGACCCCCATCATATCGACATACTGGCCCACATTTGGATTTAAAGCTTCCGCGTACATGGTGGACATATGGTTAGGGTCTTGAAAGTGACTCACAAAATCCCCGTGTTGGCCTTTATGTCCCAGTGATGGTTGTCATAAAATTCAATGTAACGAACGTTAAAAACGGGTTGTCGTTTACCTCCTTAATGGCCGATTTATTTCGTTATTATTATCCGCTTCTAGGCAGTAATAATATTGGATCGGGTGATGTACATGTATATTGTTTTTATGTTTTGGTGGTTGTAATGGAGTACATATTTAAACATTTCACTGCATAGTCTATAGCATTATCCAGCTTTGGCACAATAACTAAACGCAACGGCTACCATAAATGAGACAATGTGACTTCTGGGTGGTTTTTAGGACCAGAATCAAAACGAAATGAAATGACTGCTCTGCTCCAACTGGGCTAATGAAGATGGACATACGTCATACTGTGTACTATGAGGTAGGAAAAATTTGTCCAGACAACG